CTTGTGGAGATTCTTGGGACGGCTCGGGAGTCTTCTGGCAACTGTTGTCAGAGGGTAGCTGTAAGTTATTTAAAAAGTGGCCTGGGGTAGAGTCATCAGCCAAACCATTTATCTGTATCCCCCCTCCCAAAAAAAAGAAAACCAATAGTGCTTGTTAGGCAATTTGTCCCCAGAATAAAAATGTTCATAATAAAACCCGTCCCTGAACTGCAAATGAACGGCACAGCTGGGCGGGAGTGAAGGGCTCAGCCCTAGCAGGCACCGGGCGCTCTCAGTCTAAGCTGATGTCCATGTTGGCATCCCCTGGGCCTTGCTAAAACATGTGAGACCGAGCTCTAGCAAAAAGCAACTTTCGTTTTCACATTGGCTGCATGCAATTTCAAAGCAAAGTGGGGACTTGGGGATGCGAGTAGCTTTTTGTTTTTTAAGCACTTCTTCGTACCAAGCTCTGACTCTGTTTATAGGGACACGTTTTCCCACCTTTAAGTAGAAAATAATACAGCAAAGGCAAAGACAGCAAAACTATACGCAGAACTTCTAACAGCCTTGATTCAGGAGCTTGGTTCATTTGCAAGAAAATAATTGAAGTTTGTGCATTAGATAAAATATTCTCCTAAAGAAAAATCACCTGGATTAAATTAGCCTGCAATAATAATATCCAGGATTTCTTTACACATAAGTGTTTTCTCCTGCTGGTGAATGGCGGTGTAATGACTTTGCAGGCGAGTGCACAGACCACTAGCTGTCGTCAAACCATTAGTATCGGCTTGCAGACGTTGACTTAACTCCCTGTTTGTCAAGTGCTAGGGAGGCAATGGCAAGATTAATGTTTATATCCAGCTGAGCCTGGAACTCGAAACCTGGACAGTTCCAAAAAACCTTCTGAACAGGTCTAGTTCAGTGTCTTATATAATGGCAGGATTTTTTTTTTCTTTTTCCATATCTATACAGCATTAACGATGGGTACTGGCTAAACCTCAAAGTGGCTAGCAAAAGCCTCTCTACTTTCTGATCTGAGAAGAAACTTCCTAAATGCATCCGTAAATATGAAAATGTTGACATGCTGACGTAGAGGGCACAAAGGCTCTCTCCACTGAAGGCAGTAAGAAAGCTCCTTCTGAGTTTCTTGAAAGCAATTTTCTTCTTGCCCTCAACTGTCTGGAAGTTAGACACCTTATCTAAAATGGTTATTTTTGCTCCTTCTATGGCTAGTGGTGAGAAGTCAGCCCCTCCAGAAGGCAAACATCCTGCAGATAGCCTTTTAGGGTGAATGGCTTGCCCTTCAGAATATTTACATCTCCGCACTGACTCTTAGTCCTCACTTTTCATCAAGTAACTACTACTAGGTAAGATGAAGCCCTGCAGGCTGCCTGCAGCAGTTCTGTACTGAAACGCTGCCACAGTAACAGGGCATGCCTCTGTGGGTCTGCAAAGGGAAGAGTACTCGATTTCAAACTTCTTGTGCAGTTTGTTATGACACCAAACAATGTGTGTGACAGGAAATTAAATCCCCCCCTTTCACCCCAGAAATGTCACTCAAAAAAAAAAAGTATTTTTTTAATTAATCTAGTGTCATCAGGCATATTAGCAGTCCATTTAGAGGCACCGCCTTCTGCTCATCTGCAGCTGTATGTATTCCTGAACAGATAAAAGCATAACCATGAAGGCATGTTCCTGGGTACCTGCTGCTTTCAGCTTCTAAAAGACTGCATATATGTGTAGAAGCTACAGATATAAATCTTAGTCCCATAATAAACCTGGCTTAAACACAGCCCTGTTTCTATACGCAGCACAGCACCTCTCAGTGTAAGGGCCTTCCCACACATGATCCACAGGAGAAGCAACAGGGCCGGACCCTGCAAGCCCTCAGTGCGCAGGGCAGCGGGGCTGGACCCGGCAAGCCCCCCAGGTGCTGAACGTTCAGGAATGACAGGCTGGAACAGCTTGATGTCCTGTTTGAGTGGAGTCACACTTCTGCAAACATTACAATTACCACCTGGTTTGTGTGTGTCCCAACACAGAAATCTGCTTCAGATTGTGACACAGTACCATGCAACCTGTCATTACTATTATTTTAACCTTCCCCTGCATTTTCAGAGCCAGACAATCAAGCAAGCCTAAAACAGCACAGGTTTTCTAAAAATAGACTGTCATGTTAGTAACACACTTGTTTTCCAGAAGCACAGAACAGAATCACTGTGGCCTCAGAGTGTATTCACTTCGTAAAATACCCTCTAGTATTTTACAAAGACTAAAATATGAATGTTGCCAAAGTAGTGCATACAGAACAATTATATTTCATCCAAAATTTTATAAACATTTACAAATGTAAATAAAAAGGCATAGGCTATGGCTTGTCCAGTAGACAAAACAGGACATGGGAGATCTTTTGGGGCGAGAGGCTTGAGGTTGGTTGTAGCGTGTGGGTTCAGCCATGGCCCATACAAGACTGCCGTCCTCCATGTGGAGAGTGAGACTTTCCTGGGGCGCAGACTTTTTGCTGCTCCTGAGCAAAGAATTATCGTCTGCCACCATAACTGCTAAGGGCACCAGGCAGAGCTTTGAGAAGTGGTTCCAAATTTGCCTTCTTGGTGCCCACCAAACACACAGAAATAACCTTGGATTTTAGAAAAACAATCAGTTCTCTGTAGGCAATGAGTTATAACGAGTTACAGTACGGCAGCTGACCTGCGACAGCTGTTGGCGAGCACAGCCTTAGCTCTTGGCAAACATGAAGAAATTTGGGGATTATTGGCATGTGATTACTTGTTACCTGTGGGAATGCGTCCGAATCTTTTCTTCACAGATAGCTTCTAAGTGTGTATAGCCCATGTAGTGCCTCCAGAGTCTTTTCGACATGACTCCCTGTAATTCTGAATTATTTTGAATGTCCATATGCATGTTTACACATGCCAACACTATTAGTATTCTCAATCATGCAGTCTTTAGCCTTTTCAGAGGTACTAAAATATGCAAGGGAGTCTGAGCATCGACACAGATGTCTAATCCTTATGAAATGAAGAAACTTGTTGCTCATAGATCATGTCCATTCTGAAAGTGCTGTCTTGTGTTTCTGCTGGCAAGGATCCGAATAATATCTCCTCGTGGACATGCCAACACATAGAAAACATGAAGTATGTCCATGTTGCAATATCTTGTGTCAAATTTACTCTTGGCAGCAATCATTGATGTCAGTAAAACAGTTCCAGTTTATGCTAAGTATTTGTCTTCTAAAAAATACGGATGAAATAATGTTAAAAAGGCGTTAGGTGCTGAAACATTATCTGTTCTTCTAGCTGTCTCTGTTTCTGGGGATTTATTTTTAGTCTTCAATGTTAACTTTTATAGTTTCAAGATAATTGTTTTTGTGAAAAAAGGCAGTAGCTACATTACTACAAACATGTTTAACACCCACACCTACATTCCTGTTCAGGATTCTGAGCAAGAAGACAACTCAGAAGACATTCAAGAAGAACTTTTCACAGAAAGCAATAGTGAAGTGTCTGAGGAGGCATATACTGAAGAGGATGATGAAGAAGAAGAAGAAGAGGATGAGGAGGAAGATGAAGATGAGAGTGATGATGAGGATGAGGAAAAGCAAAATGCTGCAGCTGGTGAAAGTCCTGAGCATGGCCGGAGTTCTGACCACATAGGACGCAAGAAGTGTAACGATGCAAAGGACAATGAAAACTTACTCAATGGCCATGATGGAAAAGACACAGATAATCTGAGCTTAAAAAGCAGTGCCATCCACCCTTGTGGAAATCCAACAGTTATTGAGGATGCTTTGGAAAAAGTTAGGAGCAACGACCCTGACACCACAGAGGTCAATCTGAACAACATTGAGAACATCACTTCACAGATGCTTATACAATTTTCTCAAGCCCTGAGGGACAACACAGTGGTTAAGTCATTCAGCTTGGCTAACACACATGCTGATGACAACGTTGCAATAGCTATTGCTGGTATGTTAAAGGTAAATCAGCATATAACTAGTCTGAACATTGAGTCAAATTTTATCACAGGCAAAGGAGTGCTGGCCATCATGAGAGCTTTGCAGAATAACAAGGTTCTAACAGAACTGAGGTTCCACAATCAAAGGCACATCATGGGCAGCCAGGTGGAAATGGACATAGTTAAACTGTTGAAAGAGAACACCACTCTGGTCAAGCTTGGATACCACTTTGACCTTGCTGGCCCAAGAATGAGCATGACAAGTATCCTGACAAGAAATATGGATAAACAAAGGCAAAAGCGTATGCAGGAGCAGCGGCAACAAGAGTCTGGTTGTGACGGAGCCATCAATCCAAAGAGCAAAGTCTTGCAGAAGGGGACACCTCGGTCTTCACCTTATGTGTCACCTAAGAGCTCACCTTGGTCCTCTCCAAAGCTCTCTAAGAAAGCATCACCAGTGAAAAGTCAGCCTCCAGCTCCTGCAAGGCACCAACCAGGAATATAGCCGAGGTCATCAAACAGCAAGAAAGTGCAAAAAAAGCCTTAGTGAATGGACAGAAAAAGAAAAAAGGCAAAAAAAGCAAAAAACATGAGAACAGCATATTGAAAGAAATTAAAGATTCTCTAAAATCAGTCTCGGACAAAAAATCAGAGGAAGGCTCACGACCCTCCACTCGTCCCTCCACCCCACAGAGGTCTCTCCATGACAACCTTATGGAAGCAATTCGGGCAAGCAGCATAAAGCAATTGAGGCGGGTAAGTAAGAGATCCTATTTCAGTTACTGGTTGTGGCTCAGGTATAGCACAAGCTTAATTAATTTTAGCACCCATATATTTAATAAAAAAAATATTCTTTAAAATGTGAGCATAAGACAGCACTTGGGAGGAAGCTTTCCTCTGATCAGGCCTTTCTCAGCACACTGATTTCTGTTTGACCGTGATTTAGACAGGAAGTGGGGTACTTTCCCAGGTTCAGGCTTGTTACGGGAGATGGTGCCGTAGCACAAGGCTCTTGGGAGTGCATCTCTGGTAGGAATTTTGCCATCCAGGCTGTACAGCAAATGTAATGAGCACCCTCCCCACCCCACCCCCGTTTCGTAGGTGGAGGTACCAGAAGCCCTTCGGTGAAAGCCTGGAAGACGGAAGAATCAGAGCGCCTCAGTGGTCGAGGGGAGGCTACTCGTCCATTCACTGGTGGTAACATAGACTGTCTAGCAAGCTGCTTCCAAAGTACACTCTTAGATTCAAACCATTTCTCTTTTATTTCAAAGACATAAACCCGCTAAATACGAAACAATGCTTTAAGGATACATTTGCCTTGTAATCTGTAAATATGGAAATAATTTTCTTTTTTATTTAATGAGATTTCTATTGAGAAATTGCTGCTTATTTAGATATTCTTTTCAATATCTGATTGCACACCACTGGACAAGTTCTTCACACTGAGATGTAATAGTTTACCAACTCGTGTTTTCTTCTTCTTCTTTTTTTTTTTCCATGAATTTACAATAAATGCGGTTTGAAGCTTTCAAGACACATAGTCTTGGGTTTCTGTGAGTGAAAAAACCTACCAGATGTTTGCGCCAAGTTCATGAGCATTAGGGAAGTCTCCTGGGAAAGAACGTGAGATCTTTCTCAGCTGCAGCCATCAAGCCTGCTTGAAGGACAGTACCTGAGTCCATATGTTAGTGCAGCTGCATGCTGACATGGGAAAAAATGGTTTATAAGGCTATATACAATTAAAATTCAGCTGCGGGCTGTGTCAGGCCACAGGTGTTGCGTACCAGGTCCTAAACCTTGATCTAGCAGAAGGGGAAGTGGGTGATGAACAGGACTGCAGTTCATGGTGACTTAAAGTTTAAAAATTAGTGTAGGCGTCTTAAGGGTGCAGCAGAATTATCCAGCTGAGACGCATTCAGTACAAGCTCACACTGCTGTATCTAGGCAGAACATACCCCAGCGCAGGCATTCAGGCAGGCAGAGAAACTTGCAAAGCAGTCTAGCGTTCGGGTGGAAAAAGGCTTTCATATGATATCGGCAAGAACAACAAGCAGGGTGTGAACTGTCAATATGATAGGGTGGAAGCAGAGCCAGTATCATTTGGAGGTGCACGGCTGGAGGTATCACATCACAGGCGATGGCACGAATAGCCCTCCTTCGTGTAGTACGAGGCTTCTCCCTCTGTCAGATTAGTTACGGTTCTGGGTGCTTCAGTTAGTGTGAAGGTAGTGATAACATGAAGAAAACCGAGCAGTGGCCAAAATGCTGAAAGGCAAGAGGAGATGTATATTTAGAAGCACCATTAAATATTAATCAGTTTGCTCATTTCAACAATAAGTAACAGAATTAGTATTTCTTTTACATAAAACCACACCAAAGAGGATTACCCAAGGTTACCCAACATCACCGTGGTGTTGAAAAAATACAGGTAAGCTTGTATCTAGAAATATTAATGAGACAGATTTCCCCAGAAAGAGGAGCAAATTACTGGAGGGAAATGAAGCATAACAGAGAGGGTTTCCATTAGTAATTTGTCAGGACTGTTACTGTTACGGCAAGAAAACAGTGAAGATGCATTTTTGCTTTTTTATTTATTGACTAGAACATACCAAAAGCAATTTATAACTAACTGAAACACTTCCCAACATTTTTCCTCTTGCCTCAGGATCACAACAACTCATTTCTAGACCCATTATCACAGGAAATATGGTACGTACTATTAGCTTTTAGCTGCCTTTATAATTGCATAGGTTCCCATAGCATAAAAATCAACCTATGGTCAGTCTCCCATGACCAAATGGAAGCTGGAGCTTGGGATCTTCTGAGGATGGAAGCCATGCTGGAACACACACCACAGTCAGGAGGAGACCTGTGACCCCAGACCTTGTTCCCAGCAGCTTTGTGAAGGATGAGAAACAGCAAAATGTTTGATCGAACGCCACAAGCAGCTAAGCAGTTGCAGGGGAGAAGGAAAGATAGGGAGGGGACTCAGGGAAAGCACAATGGAGAGGATTTGGAGGAAGACAAGAAAACGTTTAAAAAACCCAAACCCAAACCTTTAAGGAGAGAGGGAGAGTGAGAAATGAGGAAACTATCTGTATGGGAGGTGAAAACATTAAAAAAAAAGATGATGATATAGAAGGAAATGAATACCGAAAAGTGGCAGATGAGAGAAGAGAAAAATGTGGAAGAAGAAGAAAATCTAGAAAAAGGAAAAAAGGAACGTAAGCTTCATCTTCAGGTTGGTAAGAGCTGCTGGAGTTACTCATTTGCAGGACGAGAGGGCGATGGGCACGGTCCTTGTGAAGGCTCGGCCGGAGCTGCTGACTGCGGTTGCTGAGAAGTGGCCCATGGGTCCCCTCTGGTGCTGCGTCCCGCTCTCGTGATGGGGATTAGTATTTCAGCTAAAATGTAAAGTCATGGAAGCGGCGTTGGCATGCGGTTATTTAAGGTCCTGTGCCACGCTCCCTCACAAAGTGCCAGTCCCGCGCCTTAGCCAAAGTCTGATCTGGGTAATTACCTTCTGCCTACATATACTTCACAGCGGTTTCACTTGGAGGCATTTCAAAACCTGTTTCCTATTTGCAGAGTCACGAGGCAAAGCCCCCGAAAACACCTTGCTACGGTTTTGGTGCCCCACTGAAAGGAAAGGCAGCCCCCTTCCCTCTTCAGGTGGGTGTCAGCCCTGCTGCTGATGGCGCTGAGCTCCCTCACAGATGCTTCCAAGGAGCAATCTGTCTTCCTTTCAAATAGGCAAGCAAGCACCGCATGACAAACATGCAAAACCCCTCTGGGGGTTAGAGTGCTGCCTTCCCGGACTGTGAGATGGTTTAGCAGGAGCCAGGAGGTGCTAAGCCGTGTTCCTGCCTGAGGAGCAAACACCCTGCAACTCTACATTTCCCCTGGGACCCAGGTCCTGCTTGTAAGCTCAGTTTACTTTCTGAACCCTTCCCTTGAGTCACAGGGGGCCAGATAATCTCCTCTGGAGGCCTGATTGCCTCTTGTTTGACCTGTAAGGAAGGTGGCCCCTTGGTCAGCTCCTGCACATCCAGTGCTGTGCCCCCATCAGAGCTGGATGCGGTGTCTGGACAAGGGAGTCCCAGGGTGCAGGTATGCTCCTCGTTTGGTCTCGTAGGGCTCCCTGCAGTGGGTGGCCATCCACTCTCTCTCAAAGACCAGTCAGAGAAACACATCAAAATCTGTCAAAATGAATTGGTCAGCAATACAAGAGTTGCAAAGGATAACCGAGTGTCTGCTGTCACTGAAGAGGTAAAGGGACAGGAGTGGACAACGGGTTATAATGTCTTTAGGAACAGACAATATATCCTTAGAACATTATTTATCTCCTCATGAGTTGCAGAAATAACCAGCCCACTGAAGACCAGAAATACTGTAGCTTCCCGAGGAAGAAAAAAAGCAAAACCTGCCTCCCTTATTTACACTGTGCCAAATCTCTCCTGTGAGCTTTCCCCCAAATTCAGGCTGGGGGCAGGAGGGGAGGGCTGGGTACTGCACAGACCGCACAAGCTTCACGCCGTGGTTGCGCCTGAAGTGGGGCCCTCCCACCGCCCTGCTGCGGCCCTGCCCTGCGCGCTGCCGCGGTGCCGCTGCTGCGGTCATCTGCGGTGGGAGGCTCTGCCGCCCCGCAAAGCCCCACGCTCCAGGTAGCCCAGCAAGGAGGCACTGCCTCCACTGCAGCTTCGTGCTTTGGCCCTTCCCCATAAGGTGTGCCCATGTCAACATCCGTGCCGTGTAGCACGGTGCGAAAGAGCTGGCCTGCTGAAGCACCAGAAATATCGGGGCTTGACTGTTACCTGTAATGCCAGTATTTGGCCCTTTAGTTTGTGCCTCGTCACCTAGGGAAGTGTCTGAGCTTATAGAAAGAAAAGGAACTCATAAAAGTCCAAGACATTTAATTTCCATGCCTTCTGGAAGTTTCCTGCCTCCTGCCAAGTCCCCTGTTAGACATTCTGGACAGTGACCCACGTTGCTCTGCAGCTCGGGGCTTTAGCTGGGGGTAGAGGTGCTGGTCTGACAGCCCTGCAGAGGTGCTTCCTTCCCACCAAAGAGGGCAGGTGGCCAACGAGGCTCCTTCCAGGTAAAGCCACATCCATTTCTGGAGGCTGACCTGTGCTGCACCAGCTGGGAAGCCAGAGGAGCTGGTGGAGCAAGGTCCCAGCATGGTGTGGTGGGCGGATGGATGTCCTGGGGCACAGGAGGCTGCAGGGCAGAGGGGAGCGGGAGGCGATGATCAGGGCCTCTCCCTTGCCGAACGCCAGCACAACATGGGTGCAACCCTCCAAGGCACAGAAGAGAAGCTGTGAGTATTCAAGACTTCCACACCACCATTCATACAGTTTCCTCAGGAGTTCATCAGAAGTAATAATTAAGGCAGAGCAGCTCCACAGCCAAAATAGAGAGGACTTGTCTGTAGGCTGTTTAGAGAGTGACACGTAAGTGCCATGAGGTAGTCATGAAGCCATGCCTGGATGTAAGGGGAGAAGTAGCTCCAAGAACTATTCCCGGGTGCAGGCCCGAGTGAAAGAGCATCTGGACGAGTGTGTACAATTCCAAGAACTAA